CAAATAGCATGTAAAATGCATGACAAAAAGCATGTGAAATAAACTAGTGTGGTCACGTCAGACAACACTATGTTGCACATTTTGACTATGTTTTGTGTGTTTGACACCTATAAAATGTAAAAAAAAAAAAATAAAACTTCCACAAATATAAAATTTTGATAAATTAGGTAAAATGGTATGTAAACTGCATGATAAAAAATATGTGAAATCACATAAAATTGACGTATGTCAGTGTGAAATCTCCCATGCCTTCAAATGGTACCGATTGGCCTTTTTGTTTAAATTGGGATGCTCAAGCGCTCAGAGAGACTTGACATAAGTGCATGGCCAGATAACTTTCAGAAAAGAGAACGGGTAAACCTCAACAGATGGCAAATTGCTATACCAGCCTACTAAAGTATTGATAGTTGTGAGTCAGTCGTCAAAGGAATTTCATAGCTTGGTCCCCTGACTCTGGGAGGGAACCCAATTGGTTGGGGAACACCCTTCCTCTTAGTTTGATGTAATCGAGGTGGTGGAGTCAACTCCACAGCCGGCTCCTTACCTATGTGATGTTGCACTTCCTCCGGAGAACCCACTTCCGGATCATATTCAGAATCAGTTTGTGTAGCAAAGGTAAACCAATTAGCCTCGCTCCAAGCAGACAAGTCAATGAACGCAGTCTCTTGGCGAGGTGCAATCGGCTGCACTCTTGCCCCTTCCTCTAAAGATTCCTCCGCATCAACACTCTCTTCGGGACAACTGGATGGCCGCCTAGCTTCTCGCCAACCAGAAGTTGTAGTCAAGAGATGTGTGTCAAAATTAGTCTGAGTCGCACACCTCGTTATTAAAGTCAGTTCACCATTTGAAATTTGTTGGATCAGAGAAATAGAGAAAAGGAAATCCTCACATATTGAACTGACTGCTCCATCGTGAGCCTCAATCGGCATCCCTCCAGTCATTGTCGCTTCCTAGCCAGAGGCTTCTTTTGCCTTGGCCTTCTTTTTGGTTGTTCAAGCAATGAATTCTTTTTCCAGCTTGAGTTCAACAATGTTTAAGGAGGTCCACAAGTCTGCTACCATCCAACAAAAAACCCTTGGAAACAAAACACGGTTCATGGTTAGCGGCTCGATAAACTGGGAAACTAAAAGCAGTTGACTGTTAATATCAGCTCCCTCAATCCAAGAATAATCGGTGCCCTTCTTTTGAAAGGTGTCACCAATCGACATTGTCTTGATGGCTCAACTCTTGAATGAATAGGCAATGAAAAACTTATATTTCTATTCTTTTACCATATTTTTCAGGCCAAAAAATTGGAACCGACCAACGATAAAAACAGGTTATTTTTAGGTGGATCAGAGTACAAATAGATAGAGAGATAAGTTTTGATGGACGTAGAATTGATGTTTCTAGTGTGACAGACTAGATCCTTTTATCAATTCGATTTAGAGTTTGGATTGTAAGGGTCCCTAGTACGTCATATAGAGATGACACAGTGGGTAATCTAGAAGTGAGAGACCAGAATCAACTCAGCACTACTATACAAGCTGGTGAAAAACTCTAAATTAACCAATATTTTTTGCTAGCACCATGAGGGGGTAAAGAATAAGAATGCTTATATTTGTCACCATAAGTCATCTTATTTTTAGTCATCTAAATTCTACACAGATTAATATCTCTTTGTAATGAGAAAGATCTTTTTATAATATACAAACTCATTAGATTTACTTTATTAAACTGTTAAACTTAGTTGTTACTTTCTGCTTAAATTTAGAATAACCTTTGTAAACATATCGACATTGTTCTGTTATTATTATATCTGCAATTTAGGTAGAAATTTTGTAAGTCTATTTAAAGAGTTACATCTTTCCCTGTGGGATCGATACTAAGGTTTTTAAGGAAAATCCTATATTACTTGAAGCGATACGTATACTTGCGTAGTACCCATAATGTGTAAATTTATTTTCTAAATCATTATATTTATTCACACTAACCGTTAAATATAAATTGGGACTAGCTTTTGACAATCTTTTGGAAATTAAAAATACACATAATTGCGAGTCGAGTCAGTCATCAGAAAACATAAGAGGAAATTGAGAAGAAAAAGTTGAACGAAAAGATAAGAACCACACAACAATATCAGGAAAGAAAAGACAACAAAAGTACCAACAAGTCCCCTTCAACCCTTATTTATAAGAAGCCAACAAAAGTGGAAACATCGCGAGAGGATTCAAAAAGAAAACATCATGTCAGCATGAAAAACAAGACAGATAGAAATTAAAATATTTTTATTTTCTTGAAATCTAACAAAAGGTACTTTACAAATTAATCATCGATCGCTTCGCCCAGAACTAAACCCTTCATAACCAACATCCTATACAACATTTGACTGTCGAGCTTAAACTGGTTCGCTCGACCAGCCTCGAAATAGATCCTTAGCACACTCGCATCTTTCCGGAGCTCCCCAACCTCTCCGCGAAGATTGACTGACTCCCCCCACATTTCATCCAGCATAACAAGAAGATTCTCATCCGTCGAGCCATAGCAGCTTCTGCCTCATCTAGATGGCAAATCGGGGTTCTTGGAGACATCTAGCTTCCCTCATACATTTCTCCCTGGGGCATCACAAGATTGGTCGAGTAGTTGACCGCGTTCTCCTCACTGTCAGTCGATGCTTGAGGGTCCACCAACAAGGTTTGGTTTTGGTTGTTGCCAACGATCGGCAAGCTCCCGATTCCAAGCGTCCTCATGTACAAGAAACAAAAATCAATAAGCAAAGAATAAAAGACTCAAGTAGAAGGAATATAAAGAAAATCATGTAAGAATCTGATTCACCTCAAACAAGGTAGCTCCACCCACATCAAATGATGAGAAGTCATCAACCATCACTTGTCACCGACCAGAAAATCATTTCCATCAGCTCCTTGTACACCAGTTGGCGGAGAAATGCTTGTGACCCCCAATTGGACCTGAAATTCAACAGGATTCTTTATCGATGAATCGACTGTTGAGCCACCCAACTCATTCCCAGTGTTGGGTTAAACCTTCTCCAGAGTCTCCCGGATTGAGTCTGACGACTTCTTTAGCTCCATTTGCTCGATGGGTTTTGTCTTTTTAGCCAACTTCTTCTTCAGCTCACCCTCAAGTAGGCATCTTATTCCAAAGTTAGCCAACATCTTAGCCTGGTCTACGGGTTTTAGCATCGAATCAGATCTTTTCTCCTTAAGGGAGGGAATTGCAAAAACTGAGTGAATGCAAGGAATAATATACTCGAGATGAAGAGAACTGCCCCATAAGCCTTATATATAAGGGTCGTGGGCACGAAAATCCAGAGAGTCTAATTGTTACATTAAATTATGACTATAAAGATTAAATTTATTGCATTAAAAATTTTTCTGTCCCTATCGCAATTGTTGCTATCAAATATCAATGAAATAATTAAGAAATTTAATATGTATACCTAAAAATGATCGACATGAATCTTGAGTTGTCGGTCTAGATTAAAAGAGATAAATTAAAGAATATCTTTACAAAAGGCAACAAGTGCTCATGAAGCCGACTTACTGAAGAACCACCAGCAGACCGAAGAACTCGTGGAAGAACAAATGATTGCTGATCAACTGAAGACAGTCTAACGACCTAAAGGGTCATCCAGGACAACTGGAAACAAACATTCACCTCAACGACCAAACAAAGGTCCAATACCCCCAACAATTTCACAATTATCAACATGAGGCTCTCTCAACAATTTTCCCAAAAATCACTAAGGAACAAGCAAACCAATCGACCACACTAGGGTCGATCGACTACTACTCTTAAAGTCGACTGGCTTCCTGGAGTGAAGGTCGACCGACATCCAAGCAAAATAGCTGACCAACACTAGCTCAGCTAATCGATTCAAGAATCTGTCGATTAGAAGGTTCACGTACAATAAAAGACGTCAAAATCAATTACGAATATGAAAAAACACAACATAAGACAAGAATTTCCAGTAACACCACTATTAAGTAGGGGTAAATATGTAATCTTTCTTCTCATGACCATTAATCATCTATAAACAGGGGTTAACAACATGTAAAAAAGGTTTTTGATTATTTTCTCTAGACCCATATATTGTAAGGAGATATCTCTTCATCTATCTTATAACCTCTTCAGTTGCAATATATAAAAGGAGCCACAGGGTCCGGGAATAGCTCAGTTTGCTCCTACAGGCAAGTTTATGTGTGTTTTTTTATTTCGTTCTTCCTCTCCACTTCTCCCTCAAGGTGCATAACACTCCGATCATTGGGCATGCCTCACATAACAAATTTGGATTCAATAGCCACAAAAGAAATCATAGTGAATTCTCTAAAAAGACTGTAGCTTGATCGTCATGGCTTTCAATTGCTTTCATTTTAATTTGTCATAATCGTAGAAGCTTAAACGATCCAGTTAATTTCGCATGAAATGCTACTATGTTATATAAGGTGTTCTACAATTCTACATATTATTTACTAATGCATGCAAGGAATTTAGAGCAAAATGAAAGATGTCAAAGGGATTTTACAATACATGGAAGAAATTCATTTTGGATGCTCAATATATTTTTGCAAGGAATTTTCTTAATTGATGCAAGAAATCTATTCAAAATATGTAAGAATTTTTTAAAATTTTCTACCGTACGTGTTTTGCACGAGCTTCAGGAAATTTGCAAGACATTGCCTATTTACGCAAAAATTATTCATTTGTGCAGATATATTATTTTGTCATTAAACATTGCCATTTTATCCAGGAAAAAAAAACAGTATTTTCCATGAAAGTTCACTTGTTATTTTCCATGAAACCAAACACAAGGTAGCAAATTTCATCTGCATTAACCTATCTGTTCATTCTTTCCAAAAATTTCGATCGAAGAATCTAAACAAACAGGATGATTATTATATTATAGAAATGGGCTTTAAGAATTAATTTGTTTTCAGACTGGCGCTTGAAATGAAGTTTATAATTTTGTGGCTCAAATCCAACGGCGGAGTAGAGTATACCTAATGGGAGAGCAGCGCGTACATGTCCCGCGGATGAAGTGAAGGAAGCTAAAAACCCGACGCTATCTGCTGATGCAGAGAAATCTTGAAGACTCGCAGCGGCCGTGAAGCCCTAAAACGAAGGCGAATTGGACTGCACTCGTTAAACTTCTTCTGTCCAGCCCCCAGGGCCAACGGCTAGTGCCCTATTATAGGTGAGTTTTTAAATTGTTGAACGCTTACGTACATACCCTTCAACTCCTTTGTATTTACACCTAGTATCTAAATTTTAATTTTTTCATTTATAACACTTTGCCTATGTATGAAAATATCTATTTGGCTTTTGCTTTTTTTTTTTTAAGTTAAAATAGTGATTTTTTTTGTCAATCTTCTTTTATCAGTGTTAATTTGACTATTTCTGAATATTTATATTTATTAAGAAGTACTCTTACCATGTGGGGTCTATACTTCCTAAATTCCTTAATATGTTGGCTAATCTTTGATATTTATTCAAATTTTATTGACAATAATTAGTCTATTTCTATTGTTGTCTTAAACGAGAAAAGAGTAAGAAATGCTATTTACAATTAGAAGAACGTATTTGAGGATGAGGCTAATATGCTTTTGGAGTTTGCTCATTCATTCAAAAAGATCCTCAAGATAAATGTCTCATCAAGAGTATAATGAATAATGAAATCTACTCTAAATATAATCAATCTTGGTTAATTGAAAAAAAACTCAAAAAAATAAGAATTATTAATGAGAGGGAAGATGATATTTATAATCCATTTCAATTGGTGAATAATTTGCATCTTTTAAAACTTTTTTTTCTTATAAACTCTCCTCATTTTTTTGAAGTTAATTGTTTTTAACACGACCCTATCTCATTTTTATTAAGAATTGCATGATGTTGATGATTAGGGGTGCAAGTGAGTCAAGCCGACTCATGAGCCTGCTTGAGCTGGGCTCAATTAGTGGCTCGTGAACTGATCTCGATGCGCTCATGCTAGCAAGCTAAGCTCAAGCCAGCCCCGACTAGACTCGTTAGCTCCTGAACCGGCTCATTTAAAAAAAATTTAAACACATAATATACTCAAAATATATTAAATTTAAAAACTTTAATTTTAAGGTATTAAAAATGTTAAGAAAATAATAATTTTTTTTACATATTAACTGACTTCTTATTATTTATTGTGTAATTGTTCATTTTATTTTTCGACTTATTATAAAATTATTTTAAATGAATATCATTTTCTCTTTAATATTAAACAAGCCGGCCCACGAGCTAACTCGAACTCGTAGACTTAAGCTCGAACCCGATAAAATAAGCTTGGCTCGACTAGTTCACATCCCTAATGTTTACTAAAGCTGGCCCCATCTTGTGAATATTGTGTGTTTAATTCGAAGAATAACGTCATTGCAAACATTGATTGTCACAATGCATGCATTCCTAGTTGGGATACAACTAAGCAAGATGTGGTAATTATATTTTTGATTGTGCTTGATCCTTGAATATTTTTGTGGTCTCTATAATTTTTATTCCTGAAAAAAAACAATCACAATTTTTCAACAGATTATATGCTTATAAGCATATGTATTATATTTAACAAAACTTTGTCTAAAACTTGGCCAATGAAATTTATAATTTATCAAAAATAAATTTGCTACTAGCTAAAAATATAGTAGTATCATCTTAGCCTAGGAAATCTTTGATGCTATAAATCTAAGATAAAGGGGATCGGATGTACCTATTAAGTTAGATATGCTAAAAGATTATGATTGCATCCAATGGCCTTTATTGATTTTCATTCTTCATTATGCTCATTATCATTCTTATTGCAAAAGACCTTTGTTGAATTATAAAATTTTTTAAGTGATATAAAAAGTATTTTGACCAGTTTATTAATGCACGAAAATTCACCTTTATTATTTATAATGAATGTATTGTTAATAAGATATATTAATTTTATTGATATATAT